TCTACCCCTCACTTTCTTTCCGTCTGTCTCGCTGTAACTCGGCTGTCCTAGCTGGACAGTTGCCCTCCACCCAGTGACCCTGGCGCGCTACCATGGTGTAGGGCTCAGTAACTTTGAGTATTCCTTCTCCCAGAGACATGAAATTCCAGCCTCTGGCCCCCCATTTACATCTTCTTGGTTAGGAACCCATAGTTCCACAGCCTGCTGGAGGGTGGGGTAAAGGTCCTGGCTGTGGGCTTGTCTGTTCTGAAGAGGAGGGGCCACCTCCCCAGATCCCACCCCTGTCAAAGCCTAGGGAGACGTCTCTCCCGTGCGCGGCAACTGATGCCCCCAGCCCCTGCTCTTGACTCGCTGTGGCCGGTGGTAGGGGACTGACTGCTCCCTGTCCTTGGTGTTGATAGTGGGGTGTGGCAGAAAGGGACTTCACCAGACAGTTGCTGTCCTGGCTACCCCTTACAATTTGAGAGGCAACTAATCCATCTTGGGGGGAAGGTCTGGCACTAGGCACCTTGCTGGCGGGCGCACTTTCATGCTGGGAACGGGAAAAGAAGCTGGAGTGAAGAATCCTCTTTAATTTTCATCCTGGTTGTTCTCTAGGAAATACTCGGTTTTTAAGGGCGGGGTGGAGGGGTTCTCTGGCAGTGGGAATGTGTCTCCTCTACTCTTGGGTCCTTTTGTTACCCTGTCTAGGGAAATAGGGCCAGGCTTTGTGCTGTTAAGAGGGACGACCGCTGCGAACCTTGATGTCCTGGCAGCTGAGCACCCTCGCCAGTCTGGTTCAATTGGGTTCAGGATCTGCTGTAAGGGGAGGTTCTTTTCCCACCCAGGACCTGTGCGCATGCCCCAGGGTGCACACCTGGGCATGTTTATGCTCGGCTGTGAGGTAGTGTGTTTTAGACGGTGGGGAGCTAGTGCTAAGGTGTTGTTAGGTGGCTCACGTTTCATCTCCCACTCTGCTGTGGGATTGGCTCTTCCCAGGAGGCTCCCCCACCTTCCCATACCTGCTGTCGCCTTTCTGCCTGCCAGGGAGCAACGAAAGATTGGGTCTCTTAAGGACTACCACAGGTCTTCTCAACCCGTGGGTCGTGACCCCTTGGAGGGGGGGTGTTGAAGGACCCTTTCACGGGGATCACATATCAGATATCATTTACATTACGATTCATAACAGTTTCAAAATTACAGTTACGAAGTAGCAGCGAAAATAACTTTTATGGTTGGGTGGGGGTCAGCACAAGGAATTGTATTAAAGGGTTGTGAGTTAGGGGGGGTGAGAACCACTGGCCTAGCATATTGGGGAAGGCTGGAGTAGAAAAGGATTTGCCCACCCACAACCCTTCTTTCACGGAAGGGAGACCTGAGGAGAAGGGCAGCCCACCCCCGCCCTTTCGGAGACACCTCCTTGGGCCTTTCCTATTGTCCTGCCCCCTGACCTTTGCCTCCAAGGCAGATCAGCTGTTAGGTTTTAGACCAGGAGGGGTGGGTGATCACTGACTTTGGGAAAAAGAGGTGGGAAATAGCATCCCCCTTATCTGTAAGGAGTCACCCCTGGGGTCGGGTTAATTGGGCTGAGCCCCAGGCTCTCCTCTCTGACTGCCTTCTCCTTTGCACTGGGGGAAGGTGGGACCTCAGCCCCTGGGGTCTCTTCCCCAAGTCCTCTCTCTAGGACAGCTGAGCTCTTCTTGGCCCAGAACTTGAGGGAGGAGGCTAGTAGAGAGACAGCCCATTCAGGGAGCCTCCCCCACCCTCCTTTCTCCAACCACTGAACTTGGGGAAGTGGAGACCTGTCTGCACACAGAACCTGCTGTGGGAAAACGGTGGTGGTCTGAGTAGAACAGTATTGTCTATGTTCAGCCTTCTCCCCTCAAGGAGGCTGTTCTGGGGTACTTGGTGAGCTGCAGTCCTGGTGACCACTGGACCTGTGTCACCACCTTGAAAAGAACCTTTTGGTGTATAGAGACTAGTGCCTGGAGTCACCTCTAGATGTCTTGGAGAATCCTACCTCCTGGCCTGTACCAGCGGAGGGAAGAGAGCAGGTTGGCTGTGGGTGGAGACCTGCTGGGTATGGCAAGGCCTTGGGGACTCTGCTTCCCTCCCACAGCCCCCATTTCAGTACACTAGAGGACAAGGGGTGCACAGGATGTGGCTCCCCATCTGTCCCCCACCAGTCTCTGCAGCTCACGCCTCCGCCCGCTTCCAGACGTCCAAGAATGTGAAGCACGTGGATGCCCGTAGTGGGGGGGGGGGAGATGCTTATCATGACCGATGGTTAAGTTCCGGCCTTGCGTTGAGCTTTCTGGCGCTGCTGCACCCAGAACTGCCCTCGCCCTCTCCCCATGAGGAGAAAAGGCAATACGGAGGGCTCCGCGCCCCCTCCCCATCTTTCCCTAGGGGCTATAAAGGGAGCTGCAAAGGGCGCCAGCTGGATTGGGAGGGGAGCCGCTGGCCAGGGGCCCAGCTGATTTCCTGCTGATCTCCTTCAGGAAACTGGCCCCTTGCTCGAGCCTGCGAACGGCTTTGGGGCGTGGGGACCTGCGCCTTGTGTACGCCCGCCCAGGAGGGGAGCGGGGGAGGGGCGCCCTGGCAGCGGAGGTGAGAGGGGACGCCGGGCTTCCTGGGCCGTTTCCAGCCCTTGGCTGCTCTCTGGAACTTTGAGCTGAGGTCTGGTCCTTCTCCAGCCCCAGCCTTGCTTCAGGAAGTGGAGAGATTTGTGGGCTGGGGCCTCAAGGGAGGGTGGCTGATGGGTGGGGCCAGGCCAGGGTACTCCCCCCCCCCCACAACACACACCTGCTCACGCTACACTGTAACTTCGTCTTAGCAGAGGCTGAGAAGACCTATACACTTCTGGCTTGGTCTTGACACTAGCCTCCCTAGGCTGCAGACTGAAGGTCTGGAGAGGTGGGGGACCCTGCCTTGAGGATTTGAGTTAAAACCTCAGAGGTTGAGTTACCTGGGTGACAGGTGAAGTGGGGTGCAGACAAAGCTAGAGCCTCAGAGGTAGCCCGCCAGCCAGCTGCCTGGGGTGGCTTGAAAAGAGGCCTCACCCAGCCCTGACCCCCACCTAGGGCCATGCCCACTATCTCACCCAAAACGATTTAAAAAAGCCCAGCTCTTCATTCCCCATAAACAACTTTCTGGACTTTGCCTTACCTCTAGGTTTCTCTGAGCCTTTGCCCCTCTGGTCTGTCCTTGGCCTTTTGCTCTTCATCCTGGTTCTCCCCTCCCTCAGTGCCATACCTGCCGTGCCTCATGCCCTCCCTCAGCCCTGAACCCCAGATCTCATGCCCTCCCTCAGCCCTGAACCCCAAATCTCCTTCAGTCCTCCTTTCCCTCCAATTTGGCTCAGTCTTGGGGGGGGGGCAGGTCAATGCCTTCTTCCTGTGCTTGTTGGAATGCTGACCAAGATTGGAGGCCAGGCTCCCCGCTTGTCCTTGATGCCCCCCTAAGTCTGGATTGTCTATTGTTACTGCTTTTACGTCTTGGAAAAAGTTAGCACGACAAAGGGTTCCTTTGTCACTCGCCCCTTTGCCTCCTGGCCTCACCCAGGCCCCCCAACCCCGCCCCCCAGCAGCTGTTCTCAGGCCTCCCTGCCTGTTTGATTTGCTTGTCAGGCCTCCTGAGAAGGAAGTGGGGTGAGAAGGCAGGGCAGGGCATTCTGTGTAGGTATGAGGAGCACATTGCTGCAGGTCAGCCCACACCTTACGGGGTTATAGACAGAAAAGTCCTTCAGGATAGTCTCTGGTTAGGGAAGGGGACATGGGTTACAGCCATGCTGGTTGGCTAGGCTGATGTCCAGGCCCAAGCAGGAGCCAGGAGAAGTCCTGCCAAGGCTGTTGGCATAGTTCCCCGGTGTGTTTGCAGGTAACGAGGGTGGTAGTATGCAGCCATGCTCCAGTGTCCCCAAGTGTCCTACCTCTCCGCCTGACTCCGTAGCCACAGGAGCTTAGGCACGGGAACCCTGGCCATCTCTCCACGCACTGGGTGGCGTACGGACAGAACTAGATGGGAGGGAAGTGGATTCCCACCCATCCTTGCCTCCGTAGAAATGGAGGGGACAAAGGAGGATGCTGGAGGGCCCTCTGGGAATCTGGGATGGTCTCTGCTATAGTTATCTGTCATCTTGTATCCCCAGCAGCCCAGGCTCTGGGCACAGCCAACTCTCACCCAAGTAGCCATGTTCTGTCTGGTGGGCAGAGAGCCAGGCACAGAGCTTTTGCTTGGGTGGACTGCCCCTGCTGGCTAGGTCACCCCCTCCTGGCTGCCCTCTTGGAGCTGAATAACAGCGGAGGGGGTAGTAACCCGGACGTAGTCTTTAGACAGACAGACAGAGCATTGATGGGAACAGACCCCTTTTGTCTTCCCCACAGACTTGGGCATCCAGAGTGATGGGCTTCTAGGAGCTGTGGGGGCTCTTCTGTCTCCAGGAGGTCCGTCCCCCCCTTCTATCTCAGGGCGTGCTCTCTTGTCTCGCCCCAACATCTGATTCTTCCTGTGTGCTGCCTTGGACCCCACCTTAGCCAGGGGATTGTTTGGGTGGGGGAGGGGCTCTGACTGCTGTTGGAGGGGGTGGAGGAGGGAGAGCGGAAGCAGAAGGGGCCAGGGAGTGGCCGGCTTTGAATATCCTGTTGACCCCTGCTTCCTCTGCTTTTAGTCTCTGTCCTTCCCTCCCTCTTCATTAAGCCTTAACTCCTTCTGAACTTGGGGGAGCTCTGCCTAAGGTGCTATTTGTATTAGGGCTTCCAAACCAAGCTCACTCCCCTCACCCTCCAATTATAGCTCTGTGTGTGGGGGGGGGGGGGAGCGAGCTGGAATTGAAGGTGGGTTCTGGGGACATAGGAATCATGGGGGTCTGGATATTTAACTGCCCTTCCCCTGGCTGCAGAGACCATCACTGTGTAGGCTTTGAATGTTGCCCTAGTGTCCAGGCCAGGGTTACTGGGGCAGGGTGGACAGGGTGCTGAGGGTAGTGGCCCGGGTCTCTAACTCTCCTCCTTCTCTCCTAGCCATCGAGACCCAGAGCAGCAGTTCAGAAGAGATAGTGCCCAGCCCCCCCTCGCCACCACCTCTGCCCCGCATCTACAAGCCTTGCTTCGTCTGTCAGGACAAGTCATCGGGCTACCACTATGGGGTCAGCGCCTGTGAGGGCTGCAAGGTGAGTGAGGGTGTCATGGAAGACAGTTTTGAGTAGATACATCGGATGCCCCCCTCTGTTGTGGCCTCAGCGAGCAGTTGGCAGGGTTGTTTCCGAAGCCTCCCGCTTTTGCTTCTTCAGCAACTGTGGAGGAGGAGGAGGAGGCTGTCTACCACAGGGCCTCCGCCATAAATGAGCAGTGGTTCCCTCACTCCAGAAACCCCCTCCTGCCATGCTCTCCTTGTCTCTATCCTCTGGCTGGCAGGGTATACACTGGCCCTGCCACTGTTGCCCAGGTTGCCATGGTGAGCTGGCTGCTGCCTGACTCTTGGCTGGGGACCCAGGAGGCCTGCCCCCAGTGGCCTTGCCTGAAGCTGTTCATGGCATCCTTGCAGGAGACAGCTAGTAGCAGACACCCGGCCTTGGCTCCCTTCAGGTGTCCAGGCTGTGGGCTCCCTAGTGGCCGCTGGGTTTCCTGCCTTCTTACTCGGGCACGTGTGTAGCTGAACCTTCCTGGCCACTGTGGTCCTGGATATCTTCCCTACCAAACAGCAGAGCCTCTGCTCCCGTTTCTTCCTTCAAAGATAAGGGCCTAGAAGCTGGGCGGTGGCGTGCACCTTTAATCCCAGTTTGGGGCCAGCCTGGTCTACAAGAGCTAGTTCCAGGACAGGCTCCAAAGCTACAGAAAAATCCTGTCTGGAAACACACACACGCACAAAGCCAAACCAAAAAAGGGTCTAGAATATGTACACTTTCAGTATTTTGGGCTCTTAGAATCTCAGTCTCGACTAGCCATCTCCAGGTGTGAGATCAAAGAAGTCAAGGGTAGTGGACAGCGGTGCCCGTGTGCTAGTCCTGTCTGGCTTGTCCTGCCTTCCTGCTGCCTAGTCACTCAGTTTCTGTGCTCGCTTGTATTGCAGAACCCTGGACAGCCTGGTCTTTCTGTGACTGTCCAGTGCATATGTGTAGTTGGTAAATGTCTTGCTCATAAGTGTGCGTGACTGTGCACAGGGTCCCTTCTCAGCTTCCTACAGCTGTCTTCTTTTGGTCGTTGTTTTATTTGTGCTTCGAGACAGTGTTTCTATGTCTATGTATAGCCCTGGCTGTCCTGGAACTAGCTTTTTGTAGAAGATGCTGGCCTTGAACTCACAGAGATCCGCCTGCCTCTGCCTCCCTAATGCTAGAATTAAAGGTGTGCCACACCACTGCCCGGCCTCTTTTGGTCTTTTGTGACAGGGTCTCCCTTTCACGCAGCTCTGGCTGTCCTGCAACTCTCTATGTAGACCAGGCTAGACTCAAACTCTCAGAGATCCACCTGCATCAGTCTCCCGGGGGCTAGGATTAAAGGTGTGCTCCACCTTGCCCAGTTCCTCCTACTGGTTACTGTGCTGTGTCCTGAGTCCCAGGCTCTGAGTCCCAGACACTTCTTTCTCCCATCTCCAGCCTTGTGTGTCCTACCCCAGATTCAACCCTGAGTCCCTTTCTTTGAAAGAGAAGAATCAGGTACAGAGATGGATGTTGTGGAGAACTCCAAGCCAGCCTATGAGATACAGACAGGCCTGGGTTCTCTCAGAGTGTCCTTTTGGGGGAGTCATATTCCCGCCTTTTCCCGCCTTCTTAGGCAGGCCAAGGCAGAGCGTTTGGAGGGTAGCAGCCAGGCTGTTCTCACTGTGGTGTGTATAACCTGTCTCCTTTCCCTCTGCACCCAGGGCTTCTTCCGACGCAGCATCCAAAAGAACATGGTGTATACGTGTCACCGGGACAAGAATTGCATCATCAACAAGGTGACCCGGAACCGCTGCCAGTACTGCCGGCTGCAGAAATGTTTCGAAGTGGGCATGTCCAAGGAGTGTGAGTGTCCTAGGGCTGGGGGCCAAGCCCCGCCCAAGGTGGGGCCTGCGGCGTTTCTGAAGGCTGGTGGTGGGGGTGCTGTGCGTCCTTGTGCACGTGTGAGCATGTGTGCGGTGGCAGGCAGGCTTCTAGTTAAGGTTACTTTGTGGACAACTACACGAACCTGTCTGTGAGTCTGGCAGGCTCTGTGTCCGCGCGTTGTTTAAGCACAGAATGCGCAGAATCCTCCCATTAGCACATCTTGCATGCTTGCATGCTTGTGCATGAGTACCTACCCCCAGGATAGCTTTCTCCTGGGCTTTGCTTGGCTTTGGGGTGTGGCTGAGTAACATACCCCTGTCCCTTGTGTATCTTAGGGGATGGGCCAGAGGGTGTTAGTTGGTATGTCTGTGTTGGGGGGCTGCCATGGGACCCCTGAAGCCATTGTCTGGATAAACCTGGAACTCCCTCCTGAGCTGGAAGAGAATTGGCTTCTCAGATCCAGGAGGAACAGGGGTTTCCAGTTTGGGCCCAGCTGAGGCCCTGAAGGAGGGAGGGACAGAAGGAGGGCTGGACAGGGAGAGACCCTCTTGTGTTGAATCATGGGTGTTGCCGTGGTGACCAGTGATTGATGATGTCAGAGATAAATGACGCTGACAGACGCCTCCTTGTCTGCGTGGCCGTTGCCATGGAGCCCGAGCCTTGGGGGAGGAGGTGGGGGAGGGGGCTGCAGGACCCCCTCCAGCCCTTTGTGGGGAGGGGTGTAGGGAAAGATGGTTCTGAGTAACACACCAAGAGCCCCAGGCAGGAATAGAGGGCTGGATATCCTGCTACCTCCTGTCACCAAAGACTGGGAGTGTTGGTCCCGCACTCAGGAAGTGGTGACTGTCCTCTGCAGTCTGTGATTACTTGGGACGTGCAGGACGGACCTTTCGCTAAAAGACTGTCACTTCCTTCTTTCTCCCTTTGGTCCACCTTCCTTCTTTCCACTGCAGAAGGACAGGACGAGGGTGGGGACCCCCTCTCCTTCCTACCAACAACCCCCCCTTCCCCTCTCTCTGGCTGCTCTGTGCCCCGGAGCTGAGCAGCTGCCATTTCAATAGAATTAAAGCTTCCGAATGATAAACGTCTTGTCACAGCTGCAATTTTCTCTTCCCAAATTATCCCCCCACTCTGCCTCTCCCTCTCCCTTCTCTCCCCTGCACTTTATTGAATTTGCAGAATCGACATGAGTGATCTCCAAATTATGCCAGCTCCCCCCCCACCCCCATCCCCTCCCTGGACCCCCACCCCCACCCTTCCTTCCTCCCGCGTCAGCAGCCGCCACCGAGGGCCTGTGAGTGATTGTGTGTCTGGGATAATCGGCTGGTAACGACCCCATTGCTTCTTTAAAGCCGAGTGGTGTGTGCGGCTCAGCGCCCCCGGCTAATGGGCCAAGAGATTCTTCCGCCTGGGGGGCCCCCCATTCTGTGGTTGGGGAGCCCTATTCCCTGCCTGCCCAGGGAGCTGCTTTGGGCCAGTCTTAGGGAACCCCAGGGAGACTGCTGCCAGGAGAGCCGGGACACTAAGGATTCCTGGCAGGCAGGCACAGGGCGAGGACTCAGTTAGCATGACTGCCAGTCTGGGCTCATGTTCTTAGAGTGTGGGCTGGAGTAGATGCATGACAGAGCACTACGTGCTGGCCAAGGGCATTGTGCGCACGTGTGGCCGCTGTGGTCATGGGCCTGGAGTAGGATTTAAGATGAGTCAGGTAGACACGGAGGGCTGGAATGTCACACTGGCTTTGTGTGCTTATGTGCGTGCGTGCGTGCGTGCGTCTGTCTGTCTGTCTGTCTGTCTGGTTGGTGAACAGCATGGGCTGGGCCTGGCCCTGAGCCACGGCAGTTTCTCTCTAACCCATCCACGTCCCCCACAGCGGTGCGAAACGATCGAAACAAAAAGAAGAAAGAGGCTCCCAAGGCTGAGTGCTCAGAGAGCTACACGCTGACCCCGGAGGTGGGGGAGCTCATCGAGAAGGTGCGCAAGGCTCACCAGGAGACCTTCCCGGCCCTCTGCCAGCTGGGCAAGTACACTACGGTATGCTGGCCAGGAGGGGTGCCACACGCCCAGGGCCCCTTCTTCCGCCACCCCTTCCAGCACCTTTCTCCTAGCCGCCGCCGTCTGGAAGCAAAGGCCGGGTGGAGGGCAGGCAGGGGACAGGCTGGAGAATGGGTGCGTAACTCTCCTTACTCTCCTGGCCTCTCTCAGAACAACAGCTCAGAACAGCGCGTCTCTCTGGACATTGACCTCTGGGACAAGTTCAGTGAACTCTCCACCAAGTGCATCATTAAGACGGTGGAGTTCGCCAAGCAGCTTCCCGGCTTCACCACCCTCACCATCGCTGACCAGATCACCCTCCTCAAGGCAGCCTGCCTGGATATCCTGGTGAGCGTTTACCCCTGCCCTTCGCCGTGTCCCTGCGTGTGGATCCGTAGGATCTAGTCTTGGCCGAACAGTCACTTTCTAGAACCTTTCTCAGAACCCGAACGTCCACGTTCTCCCTCTCCTGTGTCCGTCTGTCCACTCAGCCACCTAGCACTCAGGCTGCTCCCGTCCACCTGCTTATCCGTGCAGCCTCTCGTCAGCTCACATCCCACCTGTCCATTCAGTCCGTAGAAAGACTGACCTAGACCCCTCTGAGCTGGGCGTCTAGAGGCGGTCACACTTCCATCCTCTCTTCGAGGGGAGGAGGCCACGGACAAGTAAATGAACACTGCAAGCCGATAGTGCCGGCTGGCGTGGGATGAGAGCTGTCCTGTCCCTTCCCTGTGAAGAGAGACCCTGGAGAGGCGATACCACTAACGATACCACTAACGTCTGGTAGTGAGGCATCATGAGAAAGTGCTGTTTCCTGGGAGCAGGAAGTGGAAGGGCCTGCTGCGGGGACTCCGGTGGAGTTGGCGTGCGGTAGCGCGCCATGGCCTGAATTGTGAGTGGGATGCCTGAAGTAGTGCGAGCTGCCCAAGCTGGCAGGAGGCTTCTACAGAATCCCTCACCAGGGTTCCCGGCCTCTTCCTCAGACACATCCCTGGTGAAGACCTGGGAGGTATCGCATGCCTGACCCCCGGCGCCTGTCCCCGGTGCCGTGCACAGATGTGGGAAGCACCATCAGGAGCAAACTGTTGAGGCTGAATGGGACAGTCCTGGGGATGGCTCTGCCTTACGTCTTGCTGGCTGGAAACGCCTTTCCTTCCTGATTTCCCTGTAAGGAGGCGGTGTGGCCTAGATCCATCGCCCAGTGTCTTGGCGATGGACACGTGCGTCTGTTTAAGTTTAATTGCGATTAGACTCAGTTCAGCCCCTTAGCTGCATTAGCCACATCTCAAGTGCTCAGGAGCCACATGGGGCTGGTGGCTACCGCGCTAGATGGTGCAGACAGAACCTTTCCATCACTGGAGAAAATTCTGTCAGCCAGCCAGCCATGCTCTGGCCGCTTGCCAGGGAGGGCCTCCGGGAATGCTGGAGCTGGCGTACCAGGGGTTGGGGCAGAAGCGGGGGGTGGCGCCCCAGTCTCCGAACCTGTACATCCTCTGCACCCAGATTCTGCGAATCTGCACGCGGTACACGCCTGAACAAGACACAATGACCTTCTCAGACGGGCTGACCCTGAACCGGACGCAGATGCACAATGCTGGCTTTGGCCCTCTCACCGACTTGGTTTTTGCCTTCGCCAACCAGCTGCTGCCCCTGGAGATGGACGATGCGGAGACTGGATTGCTCAGTGCCATCTGCCTCATCTGTGGAGGTGGGTGAGGTTCAGGTGGCTCTCTGGAGGCTGGCTGCGGCCTGGAGGGGCAGGTCTGGTCTCGGGGCACTTACTCTCTCCCAGGTGACACTCCTCTACAGCATCAAGAGTGAGACCCAGCTAATATTGGTTGTTATTTTACTGTTCTTCCGTGCTACACTGATAAAGACTATATCAGTCATAGTAATGATGGCCGTGAGAGGAGAAGCTGCAGGGAAGTCCTTGCTTTGTATGGGGAGAGCTCCCCGTGTTAGCGGTTGGGCTTCCCATCTCCACCAACACAGCTACTGTGGAGAGCTTCAAACAGCCCACACCCCACTTCCTTTTAGAGTTTAAAAGCCCTGTGCTGCTGCCGGTCATTGGTGGCGCACGCCTTTAATCCCAGCACTCTGTGAGTTCGAGGCCAGCCTGGTCTACAAGAGCTAGTTCTAGGACAGGTTTCCATAGAGAAACTCTGTCTCGAAAAATCCGAAAAAAAAAAAAAAAAAAAAAGCCCTGTGCTGTCTGCCAGTCCAGAGATCCTCTCAGGCCTACCTTGCGGCCAGCCTTCTGCCCTCTGTGGCTTGGGCAGACCCGCCCCCAAGTGGCCACATCTGGGAATGCATCTGTATGCCTGCTTGGTGGAGTGGGTTTGGGTGTGGGGTTGGGGGGGGGGATGAGGGTGTGCCTGCTCAGGGGCGGTTTTATGCTCAGACCGGCAGGACCTGGAGCAGCCAGACAAGGTGGACATGCTGCAGGAGCCGCTGCTGGAGGCACTGAAGGTCTACGTCCGGAAACGGAGGCCCAGCCGTCCCCACATGTTCCCCAAGATGCTGATGAAGATCACAGATCTTCGGAGCATCAGCGCCAAGGGTGAGTCCTTCGCGTGGAAGAAGGCTCAGGACTGAGTCAGGCTGTGTGTCTTCCTCACTGAAGCTAGTCTGTCCCCGTCTGTGTCTAGGTTATGGCTCTTGCTGTCACTTTTCCATGGTAGTCCAAGGCCTGCCTCTGTAAGAGGTCATGTGGGTATAGACTGGCGGGCAGGCCTCTTGCCAGCTCCGAACCTCAGCTTCCTGTGAGGAAGGGAGCGGTGATGGTGTTTGGCAGTGCCTGCTGGGCAGTCCATGACTTGAGGCTTAGGGCCAAACCCAGACAGGCAGAAGCCTCACATTCAAAATGCTTTATCCAGTTGCCACACTGCGGGCTCGAGAGAGCTGGCTTTTGTATCAAGTCACTGAGCCCTGGATGCGGTGCATGGTAGATGCCCATATGGGTGGCATTGGTCTCCTCACCCTGTGATGCCCCCTTCTGGGCAAGTCTCTGACCTCCTCCTTCGTCCCCACAGGAGCGGAGCGAGTGATCACCCTGAAGATGGAGATTCCCGGCTCCATGCCTCCTCTTATCCAGGAAATGCTGGAGAACTCTGAGGGCTTGGACACTCTAAGCGGACAGTCGGGGGGCGGAACCCGAGATGGGGGTGGCCTGGCCCCCCCTCCGGGTAGCTGTAGCCCCAGCCTCAGCCCCAGCTCCCACAGAAGCAGCCCTGCCACCCAGTCCCCATGACCTCCACATGGACGATCCTCAACCCTGCCCTGGCTTTCTCTGCCTTCCTACTGGCCACATGACCCATCAGCCCTGCCCCGCCTCTTCCTCCCAGACAGAACTGGGAACCTTCTGCGGGGACAGGAGGGAGGAGGCAGTGACTCTGTGGACAGAGGCCTGGACCCAAGATGGACTGCCCTCTTCCGGCAGCCTGGGCTGGCATCAGGGGCCAGGCATTGAGCCATGTGAGGACCTGGGCCTGAGCCCCAACGCACCTTGCCACGTCTTTATCACCAGCAAATGCCGGGACCTGGCTTCCTGTCCTCCGAACTCAAGCCATCTCTCCCCCGTTGGGGAACTTCCCCCTGCTTCAGATGGTGACAGAGGGGGTGTCCAGGGTGGGGGAGATCCCCTGTACATATCCTGCGTACCAACCCCCCAGATATTAATTCTCGCTGGTTTCGTTTTTATTTTAATTTTTTTTTGTTTTGATTTTTTTAATAAGAATTTTCATTTTAAGCACATTTATACTGAAGGAATTTGTGCTGTGTATTGGGGGAGCTGGATCTAGAGCTGAAGGGGTGGGTCCTTGGGATGGGCAGGGCTCTGAAGGGCTCCCCTCTCCTGGATGCGCCCCACCCCGCAGCCTGTCATCCTCCCGTTCTCTCTAATACTGTGAAATACTAACTTTCCAAGGCCGCCTTCTCCTGACCTGTGCGGGAAGCAGCTTCCCTTCTCCCTCTGCCCAGCACTGGGTGTGGGCGTCCCAGGCAGCTACCCCTGGGAGGAAGGGATCCTGGCTTTGGCTTCTGCCTTTGACCACCAAGAAGTAGGGGGAGGGTAAAGCTAGGGCCCCTCGGATGAGTAGGATGCTACTCCTCACTGCCCATCAGAGCTCACTTCATCCAAGCCTCAGCCCCACTGTGAAGGGGCTGGCTAAGGGGTCCAAGTTACCCCTGCCCCCAGCCTCATAGCCACCAGCACCCCATGGGGCCCTCCAACACACACACACACACACACACACACACACACACACACACACACTTGGCCTGAGTTCCTTCATTTCCCTGGCCTCCCCCCAATCCCTCTGTGCCCCCTCCTTGCCCCGCAGGACGGGACTCCAGGGGGTCCCCTCCCTCCCCCTACACCCCTGGGCTGGGGGAGCAGGCTTACCCTGCCCTCCTGCCTGGGTGGGGTCTCACCCCGGAGCCCACTGGTATACTTGTTACTGCTGGGTTTCCACTGAATTCTACTGGAGAAAGAATAAAGTTCTATTTATTCTACAATGCCTCTGCCTCTCTGCCTCCACCCTCTCCTCTCCATATCCAGCCTGGGGCTTCGAGATGGGGGCTTTTTGCAGGCTCTGGGCCCCAGGGACTAAGCACAAGCGCTAACTGCCAAGGGCTTAGCCAGTGTCAAAGTTGCCCTGTGGCAGGGTTCAGGTCTCATAGGTCCAGTCTGGCAGTGCCCTCAAACTGGGGCTGGGAAGAATCTCTCATCCACAGCAGGGGACTCACCCTGGGAAGGAGGAGCAGGAGGACAAATGGCTCTTGCCACAGTCTGAGAAAGGAAGCCAGCCCTTGACCTCAGAGCCCCTAGACACTGAAGCTACCCAGCGAAAGACAAGTGGCTACAGATGGATGTTCCCGCAGTTGCTGGAGCCGGGCTCCCAATGCCCTAACAACAGGAGAGTGGGGAGCCTGTGGGAGCCGGAAGAGAGTGTCCTGTCCCCTTTGAGGCCCTTTGGGCAGCAGCAGAGCTTGGAGCATGAGCCTTCTGTGTCTTACTGTGGTAGTCTTTGCTGAGAGGCTGGTCGGTGTCCTTGCCCAGGGCCAGACAGTGGCAGGTTGGGGAGCGGGGTCAACACTCGGGGCTCCTGCTCAACCCAGGGTTCTCTATTGGGTTCCAGAGACTCCAGAAGCTTCACACACCCCAAGGTGATGATGCTTGCAGGTGGGCTCCCATTTCCAACACACACCAGCCTCACACTCATATTCTCTCTCTCTCTCTCTCTCTCTCTCTCCCTCCCTCCCTCCCTCCCTCTCTCTCTCTCACACCTGCCTCACACTCGTACCCCTGCCTTAGCAAGGGAGAACCAAAGGGTTCTTTCCCTGGAGGCCCTACCCATTTCTAGGTTAGCCACTAGGTGGCAGCAGCTGCTCACTTCAGTGTCTCAGAGGGGCCTTGGACACTATCTCTTCCTAGTAATTTTCTAACTTGGTTACTTAGCTGAAGTAAATGTAACATATGTGTTCATAGGTTTCCAAGAACCAATAGGCACTTGGGAAGCAATAGGAGAATTACCTACAACAAGTTCAAGGCAAGCCTAGCCCGCAACACAGCAAGATCCAGACTAGCCTGGGCTATATAATAAAACTTTGTTCTAGACCATCAAAATCCCAGCAAAATTCTTTAAAGACCTCGAAACAACGGTACTTAACTTCATTTGGAAAAGCAAAGAACCCAGGATATCCAAAACAATCCTATGTAATAAAAGAACTTCTGGAGGCATCACAATCCCTGACTTCAAACTCTACTACACAGCTACAGTACTAAAAACAGTCTGGTATTGGCATAAAAACAGACAGGAGGACCAATGGAACCAAATAGAAGACCCAGATATCAATCCACACATCTTCGAACACCTGATCTTTGATTTAAAAAAAAAAAAAGCAGCCGGGCAGTGGTGGCGCACGCCTTTAATCCCAGCACTCTGGAGGCAGAGGCAGGCAGATCTCTGGGAGTCCGAGGCCAGCCTGGTCTACAAGAGCTAGTTCTGGGACAGGCACCAAAAGCTACAGAGAAACCCTGTCTCGAAAAACCAAAAAAAAAAAAAAAAAGCAAAAAATATCAAATGGAAAAAAGAAAGCATAATTAACAAGTGGTGCTGGCATAACTGGATATCAAAATGTAGAAAAATGAAACTAGACCCATATCTATCACCATGCACAAAACTCAAGTCCAAATGGATCAAAGACCTCAACATAAAGCCAGCCACACTGAACCTTATAGAAGAGAAAGTGGAAAGTACACTTGAACATATTGGCACAGGGAACCACTTCCTAAATAGAACCCCAGCAGCACAGACACTGAGAGAAACAATAAATGGGACCTCCTGAAATTGAAAAGCTTCTGTAAAGCAAAGGACACGGTCAACAAGACAAAACGACAGCCTACAGAATGGGAAAAGATATTCACTAACCCCACATGAGACAGAGGGCTGATCTCCAAAATATACAAAGAACTCAAGAAATTGGACACCAAAAGATGACATAATCCAATTAAAAAAATGGAATACAGACCTAAACAGAAAATTCTCAACAGAGGAATCTAAAATGGCTGAAAGACACTTAAGGAAATGTTCAACATCCTTAGTCATCAGAGAAATGCAAATCAAAACAACTCTGAGATTCCATCTTACACCTGTAAGAATGGCCAAAATCACAAGCACTGATGACAAATTATGCTGGGGAGGTTGTGGGGAAAAGGGAACACTCCTGCATTGTTGGTGGGAATGCAAGCTGGTACAACCCCTTTGGATGTCAGTGTGGTGATTTCTCAGAAAATTAGGAAACAATCTTCCTTCAGACCCAGTAATGCCACTTTTGGGTATATATCCAAAGGATGCTCAATTTGTGTCACAAGGACATGTGCTCAACTATGTTCATAGCAGCTTTGTTTGTCATAGCCAGAACCTGGAAACACCCTAAATGCCCCTCAATCAAAGAATGGATAAGGAAAATGTGGTACATTTACACAACGGAGTACTACACAGCAGAAAGAAATAATGATAGCTTGAATTTTGCAGGAAAATGGATGGAGCTAGAACACATTATTTTGAGTGAGGTAACCCAGACCCAGAAAGACAATTATCACATGTAGTCACTCATAGGTGTTTTTTAAACATAAAGCAAAGAAAGCCAACCTACAAACCACAATCCCAGAGAACTTAGACAACAATGCAGACACTAAGGAGACTCACAAAGATCTAATTTACATGGGAAGTAGAAAGTAGAAAAAGACAAGATCTTCTGAGTAAATTGGGAGCATGGGGACCTTGGGGGAGGACTGAAGGGGGAAGAGGAGAGGCAGGGAGGGGAGCTGAAAAAAATGTAGAGCTCAATAAATATCAATAAAATAAAAAAAAAGAAAAAAAAAACAACAAAAAACTGCCCTAAAAAAAAAAAGCCGGGGGGGGGGAGGCGCTGGAGAGATGGCTCAGTGGTTAAGAGCATTGCCTGCTCTTCCAAAGGTCCTGAGTTCAATTCCCAGCAACCACATGGTGGCTCACAACCGTCTGTAATGAGGCCTGCAGGAAGAATACTGTATACATGATAATCAAATAAATAAATATTAAAAAAAAAAGCTGGTAGGCAATGGTGACACATGCCTTTAATCCCAGCACTTGGGAGGCAGAGGCAGGCGGATCTCTGTGAGTTGAACGCCAACCTGGTCTACAGAGCAAGTTCCAGAACATGCTCCAAAGCGACAACAGAGAAACCCTGTCTCAAAAAACAAAACAAAACAAAAATAAACAAATAAAAAGTAGATAGGAGACACATCTAGTGTCCCCAAACAGACCACAAACAAACACATTTTACAGTTTGATTCTTTTATTTCCCTTATGTGTCAGTGAGTCTGTTTGTATGTGTGTGCAGATATCTCCTTATGTGTCGGTGAGTCTGTGTGTATGTGTGTGCAGATATCTCCTTATGTGTTGGTGAGTCTGTGTATGTGTGTGTGCAGATATCTCCTTATGTGTTGGTGAGTCTGTGTATGTGTGTGTGCAGACATCTCCTTATGTGTTGGTGAGTCTGTGTGTATGTGTGTGTGCAGATATCTCTTTATGTGTTGGTAAGTCTGTGTGTGTGTGTGTGTGTGTGCAGATATCTCCTTATGTGTTGGTGAGTCTATGTGTATGTGTGCAGATATCTCCTTATGTGTTGGTGAGTCTGTGTGTACGTGTGTGTGCAGATATCTCCTTATGTGTCGGTGAGTCTGTGTGTATGTGTGTGTGTGCAGATATCTCCTTATGTGTCAGTGAGTCTGTGTGTGTGTGTGTGTGCAGATATCTCCTTATGTGTCGGTGAGTCTGTGTATGTGTGTGTGCAGACATCTCCTTATGTGTCGGTGAGTCTGTGTATGTATGTGTGTGCAGATATCTCCTTATGTGTCGGTGAGTCTGTGTATGTGTGTGTGCAGATATCTCCTTATGTGTCGGTGAGTCTGTGTATGTGTGTGTGCAGATATCTCCTTATGTGTCGGTGAGTCTGTGTATGTGTGTGTGCAGATATCTCCTTATGTGTCGGTGAGTCTGTGTGTATGTGTGTGCAGATATCTCCTTATGTGTTGGTGAGTCTGTGTATGTGTGTGTGCAGATATCTCCTTATGTGTTGGTGAGTCTGTGTATGTGTGTGTGCAGACATCTCCTTATGTGTTGGTGAGTCTGTGTGTATGTGTGTGTGCAGATATCTCTTTATGTGTTGGTAAGTCTGTGTGTGTGTGTGTGTGTGTGTGTGTGTGCAGATATCTCCTTATGTGTTGGTGAGTCTGTGTGTATGTGTGCAGATATCTCCTTATGTGTTGGTGAGTCTGTGTGTACGTGTGTGTGCAGATATCTCTTTATGTGTTGGTAAGTCTGTGTGTGTGTGTGTGTGTGTGCAGATATCTCCTTATGTGTTGGTGAGTCTGTGTGTATGTGTGCAGACATCTCCTTATGTGTTGGTGAGTCTGTGTGTACGTGTGTGTGCAGATATCTCCTTATGTGTCGGTGAGTCTGTGTATGTGTGTGTGCAGATATCTCCTTATGTGTCGGTGAGTCTGTGTGTATGTGTGTGTGCAGATATCTCCTTATGTGTCGGTGAGTCTGTGTATGTGTGTGTGCAGATATCTCCTTATGTGTTGGTGAGTCTGTGTATGTGTGTGTGCAGATATCTCCTTATGTGTCGGTGAGTCTGTGTATGTGTGTGCAGACATCTCCAGAAGCTAGAAAAGGGTGCCAGATCCCCTGGAGATGGAGTTAGGTGCCATTGTGAATTTCCTGACGTGGGTGTTGGGAACTGAACTTGAGTCCTGGAAGAACAGGATGGATTCTAAACTCCCAAGCCATCTCTCCAGCCTCACAAAGTGATTTTCCACTATGTGAATGTCCAATGGAACATTCCCAAAGGTTTGTGTGGGCTGGCGAGACGGCCGAGCTAGCAAAGGAGCTTGCACGAACCTCACAACCTGCGTCTGAGCCCCGATCCACCTGATCCACATGAAGGAAAGAGAACCGATTTCCACA